TATCTGAAAAGTCTCAATATTTTGCTAAATCTGCCTGCCCTGCAAGCGCAAGGACCCGAGTTCGATCTCCGGTACCAAAAAAAAAAAAAAAGTTTCCTTTCATGGTCATTTTTACTTTGGAGAAGAGCCAGAAGTCACATGGTGCCAGAGCTGGTGAATAAGGTGGATGACGACACATGGTAATGTTTTTATTTGACAGGAATTTCCATAAATGTTTTGAATTGCAAAAGAGGACTTCCAAAACTGCTTCAGAAAAATAGCAAGAAGGATGGGACAAGTGTGCATGAAGCGAGGGGACCTATTTTGAGTGGTTATGTGTCTTGTGCTCAAAAAAATTGTTTATTTAAACATCCCCTGTGTTCTGTGATCACACCTTGTACATCATGTATTCAAAGTGGTTGGATTTCCAGTGAACCCCAGGGAGCAATTCAATGCCTCATGAAGTGACCTAATATCTCGTAGATTCACCGAGCTCCAAAATCTCTTGAGAACCCTGGATTCTGCAAACCCACAGAGGGCTGAGGTGGGTAGAAATTCAGTTTCCATGGCAGCAAGAAGAAGGCTTGCAGGAAGAAGGGATGGGGCCCGGTGACCATGACAAAGGTGCAAAGTGGCTTGGGTCTGAGTCCTGGAGTCTCATTTCCCAACCACCAGTCCTGGCTGTCTGGGTTGGATCTCTTTGACCACAAAGAACAGAAAAGGAGACTTTGTGAACAAGGATTCAGAGGAAGCCAGGAAACCCTGAGAAAGAAGAACCTCATGGGGACTGGAACCAGGCTCAGAGAGCCGTTTTGCAGGATGCTTACTTATTTTGTCTCTCTTTTCTGAATGCGCACTTTATTTTTCTCTTGCTAGCAAAAGGAAGAGTTGTGCACTGCACAGTGTAGTCTCCCAAGTCTGAATCTTCTTCTTTTTTGTTCAACATATGCCTACTGGGGTCTCTGAGCCCAGACTTCTCAAAAAGCATTTGATGAGCCCCAATTTGGTTAGGTGTCCAGTCCGAGGCCAGTTAGCTCTGGCCAGGGATCTGGGTCACATGGCTTAAACATGGTGGCCGGCCTCCTTTTCCACAGCTTTCCCATTCCAGGGGTAAATGCTGTCTCACAGAGCTGCTGGGAGGAAAAAACAAGAGGAAATGGGTTATGGTACGAAGACACTGAGCACAGATCTGTCTCAGAGTAAGTATGTGTACTGGTGTTGTGGCTTAGATGTAAAATGTCCCCCAAAAGTCTCATGGGTTCAGAGGTGGAGCTTTGGGAAGATGACCGGATCACAGGGATGCTCTATTTATCAGTGGACTCATCCACTAATGAGTTCAAGAGCTGAGAGGGCTTTTAGGAGAGGGGCCTGGTTAGAGGTGGGCCACTAGAGATATGATCTAGAAGGGTGGATCCCCCTCCCCAGCTCAGCCCTTCTCTTTCTGCTTCCTGGCCATGATGACTAGAGCAGCTTTCCACCACCAGACCCCTCCACCATGTTCTTCCTGCACTGGAACCAGCTGACTATGGATTAAATCCTTTAAAAATCATGAACCAAAATAAACCTCTCTTCTTTTAAGTTGTGTTAGGTATTTTGTCCCAGCAACAAGAAACTGACTCAGATAACCAGGCTGAACAATGTCTCTAAAAAATGTATGGCCACTAGGAGCCTTTGAATGGGGTCTTTCCAGAATTAGAGTTTTTGCAAATGTAACCACAGTTAGATGAGATCACATCAGATTAGCGTGAACCCTAATCCAGTGACTAGTCTTTATCAAAAGAGGGCAGTTTAGACATAGATGGTCACACAGGGAGAATCCTACATGATGACAGAGGGAGATACTGGAGTGATACTGTCACAAGCTATAGAATGCTAAAGATCAGGGCAACTACCATAAGCTGAACAAGTATGAACCAGCCCTCAAAGTTCACTTGATTTTGGACTTCTGGCCTTTACAACCGTGAGTTCTGTTAATAAATTTCTGTTGATTTAAATTGCTCAGCTTATGGTAACTTGTTATGGCAGTTCTAGAAAATTAATGATCAATGGAGGTTACCATTATTTTTATTAACAATTTTTTTACAAATGAAGCAAACAGTTACTGCATGACCCTTCTTTTTTTTGTTACTGGCGATTGAACTCGGGTCCTTGCGCTTGCACAGCAGGCAGCGGAACCACTGAGCTAAATCCCTGGCCCTCATGACCCTTTTTTCTGGGAGACTCTCTATATCTTTGAGATCAGATCCATCCAGTAAACCCTGAAGTGAGCAGGTTTGGCTCCTCTGCCAACCCACAAAGTAGGCCTGCAGCTCCCAAAGATACTTCACCAACACTGGCACCTTGGTAGGCATTGGATTACTGCTTCCTGGCATAGCAGGGTGAAGGTGACATTCAAGATAGGAGACTAGGGATCTAATATTTTCCCTGCAACTGACTAGGACAAATCAGTGTTCTTGTCCAAATTTGTTATCCAGGGACAAGAACGGATCATACAGTTCTGCCCAATTACATAAGGAAAGATGACTAGCATCTTCATAAGAGATGTGCAAATTAAAACTACCATGAGATACCATGTTTATCCTATTAAATTGGCAAAGACTGAAATGTTTGGTAATATTGTATAGCCTAGGTTATAGGGTAGGCAATTTCTTGGATAGAGTAAAAGTTGGTACATCCCTCCCTAGAAGCCATTTAGCAACGACTAACAAGTACAAATACATATATCTTTCAACTCAGCAATCTTGTCATTGCTATGAGTCTCTTGTACCAGGTGGGAACAAGGGTTACCTATAGCGCTGTTTTTAGTATCTTTGGAAACAACCCAAATGTGCATCAGTACAGAACTGTTACAATAAACCACAATGTACAGAATGGAATACTGGGCACAGTAAAACAGAAAAGAAATCTATACTGATAATAGACCAATCTCTAAGTGTGTCATAAACAAGACAAGCAAAACAGAGAATGTTGTGTAAAGAATACTACCATTTGGGTATCAAGAGAAAAAAAGAGCAGTACATTTGTGTTTGCTTACATTTGAGAGAAATTTCTTCCACCTGAAAAAAACATAATTTTAAAATTGGATTTATTGGTCTTGAAATTAACCCACATTTCCAGATTTTTCTTGGTTTCCATATATCATTCATCCAATAGAAAACTTCTGATTAATTTTCTGGAAACATAGCTTTCTTTGTGTCTTTCATTTGCTTTTCAATGATTTCTCATCGCCTCAAACATGCACTACACTATAAACCCACTCCTGCGAAGACAGATGTATCTTCCCCACACCATCTTCCATTGCTCAAATATAGAAACTCTCCACTCCAACCAAACTTATCCTTAGCTCTATTAACATGATGGGTAATATTGGTGGATTTTATAATATTTATATTTGTATTACTAAAGCAAATCTCAGGCTGGGGATGCAGCTCAGGGATAGGATACTTGCCTCACGTGTACAAGGCCCTGGGTTTGATTCCCTCCCACAAGAATGATTACTGGAGTTGTTTCACCTCCAGTGAGCCTTCTGAGGGTGGCAGCCTCAGCAAAGACATGTGTTGCAATCTTGTGAGAAACCCAGGGCCAGAGGACCCAGCTAAAATGCCCTTGGATTCCTGACCCATGGAAATGGCAAGATAATAAATGGTGTGCTCTGATTGTCTTTGTGGGGTGATTTGTTACACAGCAATATGTAACCAACACAGAGCTCAAACTCTATCTTGTCCCAGGAAACTGCCCAGCAGCAAATTGAAAGGACTAGAGGTAATCTGGATGTAACTGGTTCTTTAGAGATCTAAATCTAAATCAGAATTTAAAATACAATGTGTAATTAATATCTAAAATTTTCACTTCGAAGTGAAGGTATGATAACATCACTTTATTGCAAACCCTTCATTTTAATTTATTAAAGACTTACCAAATGTTCCTTGAAATGACTTATTTTTAGGACTACCTTTTTGTTTGGTACCGGGGATGGAACTCGTAGGACTTCCTTTTAAACATTGTATTTGCCCATGAACATTTAGAATGTGCCAAATTAAATACAGACCACTTAGATAAAGGTGGGCACAGGACAAGTTGAATTATAACATGGATTTATATTTTACAACATTTTAATGAACCTGGTTTATTTCTATACCCTGGTGAAGAAAGAAACAGAGAGAGAGAGAGAGAGAGAGAGGAAGAGAGAGAGAGAAAGAGGAGGAAGAGGAAATGAAAGGGAAGGAAAAGAAATGGAAGAGAAAGGAAACAAAAGGAAGGGAAAGGGGAAAATACCTATCTTCCTTACCTTCAAATATGGTGATATAGTTGGAGCTTACCAGAAACATTTCCAAGCCTTCTCTGAGACTGTAAGAGTCTATTCTCACTGAAAGCAGTCAGTCCAAGTGATAGGTAAACTTTTGCTCCACTTGCTCTTTATAAAATTGGGGCTCATGATACTCATGTCCCCATAATCCAGTTTCAATTGTGCCAGATAGGACAATGGCTTAGTAATGGTTCCCTGAAGGACACAGGAGAGCAAGGAAAAGAATGGACCCATGAGTAGCATCATGCAGCAGAGCTTCCTGCCAACTTCAGTTGCTCACTTGGACTGCTGCATGAAGAAGATAAATGTGCATATTTTTAAGCCACTGCATTTTGGGGTCTCTTGTTACAGCAACTTAACCTTTATCTATCCTAACTAATACACCCATCATTGACTCCTCTAAAATGTCACCAATACCCATGATGGATGTATTTACTATGTATTGCAAACATATGCTAATAATTTTTTTTAAAAGAACAGATAAAACTTCACCACAACACCACATGAAAGGAAACACTGTCTTACAGCCCCCGGAGGAGCATGCCTCACCAAACTCTCCTGTCCGAGGCTCTGCCACGTGAGCTCTGGACATAGCTTAGTCTCTGTGAGACTTGCCTTCTCCCTACAGGAAGTAGAAAAAATGATTCCTGCTTTCCAGGGCTGCTTGAGGGAACTAACTGGGCCATTGGGACAGCCTCAGACCAACACCCAGTGTGGAGCCAGCAGGATGAAAATTCCTTCTACAGCACCATCTCCCCTCCCAGGACCCAAGAGAAGGACACAAAGCCTTTGGGGGGATGCAGGCAGCAGCAGGGGGATATTTTATCCTAGGTAAAGTCACATTTGTCCTGGGGGATACAATCCTAGACCCCAGTGGATGCTGACACAACAGGTAGTACCCAGCCCTGTGTATGCTATGCTTCTTCCCATGCATACCCCCAATAACATGTCACATACAAATAAGAGACTAGCAACAATAACTAAAATAAAACATAGTTATAATAACACATTAAACGTTATTTAAAACTTAAAAAGTATGTCATTGAATAATTGTTGTATATGCACAATTGAGCTAAGTACAAATAACTGGATTTCTGCCCTCAAAATAAAAAGACAGTTTTAAAATATAATTCTCCCATCCAAGACCAATATTAAACTACCAAAGAACTACACACTATTTCTCTGGCACAACTTCTTCACCTCCTGACCTCGGGCTCCTGGGGACTGCCATTTAACATCTCTATGCTGCTACAGCAGTCTTTCTCCCTACCTCTTCTCAAAGGTGTGGATTTTTGTTAGACTGGTTGGGACATTTGTGTTTAGAACCTCAGTCTGTGCCTTACAGTGTGGCAATCACCACCAGCCCTCAGCTTCTCATCTCCCTGGAGCTGCTGAGAACCGAATTCTCCCGAGGACTCCTTCCTACACAGAATAGCTGCAGGGCTGTGCATACGGCTATGACTGTCTCCCCAAGACTTGTCTGGGGAGTTTCGTGAGAGTCTGATAAGAAAAACAAGAAGGGAGAATTAATGTTTCATCACAGAAAAAAATGAAGGCAGTTTCAACACATCATGAATGGCTGGAAGCCTGAAAGCCCCACCTTTGGTGACATACTTACGCTGAATGTGCCACGTTTGACTTTGCCTTTTCTCTTAACTGGGAGAAAGAAAAAACTGAAGCACTAGATTTGGGGGACACATAATGGAAGTTGCCTTCACAGGCGAACCTATTTCCTCGGACCACAAACACAACAAGTTCTGAATTATTATCCCTCAGTCTTTTAAAACTAAACCTCAGGGTGTGGTCCCTGTGCCTAAAGTCATACGGGAGCGCTGTAAAGCAGGCTGCTGCACCCTCGGCGGAGGCGGATAGACAGCTCTGGCTGTGACACATCAGGGCGGCGACAGCGGCCTGCGCTGCTTCTGCAAGAGAGAGTCCGCGTCTCCCCAAAGCTCACTGGTCTCTAAGCCACCTTGAGCTTGCTCACCAGACAGGACTGAGGAGCTAGGAAAGCAAAAGCTAGGGCACGAGGAAGACCAAACAGTCCGTTGCATCCCAAAGACTTCCGGGCCCGCGAGGACACCTGGATAAGCCAGGCGGTGCCCCGTGTTCCCCCACGGCGCTTGCGCAAACACATCCTTAGGCTTTGCGTGGGCAGCCAGGAAATGCGCAGCCCTCCGCTCAACTGGAGACAGGCCTGGGCTGCTGGGCCGACCCCTTGGGCCTGATCGAACTGTTGCCCCTCATTCTGCGTGAGGAGGCGCAAAGCTCCCCCTTCGGGATCCCGAAGACTCCGAGGCAGATTTAGCAAGGATGAGGGCAAATTAAGTCCAGACGAAAGCCTCCTCCCGAGCTGCTCCCTCCTGCTGAGCAGGTGGCAGGTGCGGGCGGCGCAGGCTCCTCCTCGCCAACCTCCTTGCGTCTGAAGTCTCCAAGCCATCTGGTCCCGGTCCCGCCAGTGTTTCTCAAACAGAGGCACAGCCAAAGCAAGAAGTAGCAGGGCGAGGTTAGGGTCTTCATCTTCGACGCAGAAACCCGAGAAGAGAGCAAGTCTACCCCACCTCCTAAAAGCGCTTCCCTGTGGCCGCCTCGCAGACGGCTCGGGCCCACTTCGAACTTCCTCGGTTCTTGAGCGCGACCGAGGGTGTCCGGAATCCGAGGCAACGATGCACCAGGCGGAGTTTGGGGAGAACTTGGGGGTCGTGGGAGCGAGTCTGCAAGAAGCGGGCAAAGGTGGATGAGGAGCTGGCTGGCGAGGTCCAGCTCTCCTGGGCGCAGGAGGTGGAGGAAAGGTCCCCGTGGGCTCGGCGCTGCCCGGGCAGGTGCCCCACAGCGCGGCCCTCTGTCCAGCCCAAAGGCGCAGTGGACGCTGTGCTCCTCCACCCCGCGGCGAGCCCGCCCGGGGAAAGGCAGGGGGCGCTTAGGGGCCCGGAGCCGCGGGGCCTGAGCCAGAGGGGGACTGGCCTTGCGCGAGGTGGAGGCGGGCACCTGGCTGGCGCGCCGAGGGCGGGCTCTAGGGCCCGCGCCGCGCACCTGTTGGCCGGCGCCGGCCCCGCCCCGAGCTGGTGGAAGGAGGCCGCAGCGCGAGCGCAGGAACCGCGCGACCGCGGGGACCGCAAAGGCGCAGCGCAGGCCGGCGCGGCTGCAGCGGCTGCGGGGCGCCGAGGCTCGACCCCGCTCACCATGGCCGCGCTGCTGCGGAGCCTGCAGGATTCCCAGCTCGTGGCCCGCTTCCAGCGCCGCTGCGGGCTCTTCCCAGCTCCCGAGCCAGGCGCTGTCCCCGAGGCCCGGCATCTTCTCGCGGCCGAGAGCAAGGGCGGCGGGGGCCCGCCCAGTGGGCTGAGGAGAGCCTCAGCCCTGCAGGTAACCGCGGGCAGGTGTTCGCCGGTTCCGGGGGGAGGAGGAGGACGTGCGGGTCCCGGCGACTCCGCGACGGGGACACTGCGAGCGCCAAGCCGCCCTAGCCGAGAGGAGGGCGCCGGCCTCGGGGGCTGGGTCCAGGTCTTGGGTGTGGAGATGGAGACCCGCGGAAGAAGTGGGTCCGGTCACCGGGAAGGACGCCACCCTCCAACCCTGCCAGTTCTGGGCAGACTTAAACACACCAGAGTCTTTCGAGCAGTCCACTGGGGACTTTCTAGTTCCACGGACGAATTCACGCTCGTGCATACTCTGCCAAATGTGCACGGTTACGTAATGAGGAGGAGCGGGGATGTCCTTGGCGCTTCCCGGGAGGCGTCCTGAGAGCCCTCGGTGATTCTGAGTCCTCCCAGCCCCCTTCCCCGGGTGTTGGGGGCTCGGGCGCTCTCTACCGCGCTGCAAGGACCCACCTTGCATTTTGCTTTAGAGAGATTTACAGCCTCCTCGCTAGCCCCAGGGATGGAGGTCTGCTGGCACCTCCGTTGGAAAGTGGTACCCGAGGCTGCTCACAGAGACTCGCAGCGCTTCCCTCTGGGCGCGCACAGCGTGGTTACACAACCCACTGCGGCTCTGGGGACGCGGGTGTGTGTGGAAGTCGCAGGGCACAGGGACTCCAGGCGGGAGGGACCAGACGGACGCTGCGTGTCCACCCTGGGCACTGCGGAGCTGCCCTTTGCCTGGGCAAAGTCAAAAGTGTGGCGCAGGGGGAAAGAAGCAACATACTGACAACTGGAATTCCTTGCTTAAAACAACAACAATAACAACAAAACCTTCACATTCTGTTCTTCTTAAAGTCTCTGGTGACAGGAAGCCAGCATTTCTTTAGGTATAGATTTCCGGATTTAGTAGGTAAGGAATTACGAACACCTGGTTCCGGCGCAGAGTGGAGTATCACCAGCTGAATTGCAGAATTCACTTGGGAGGCCGGAGGTGCGTTGTGTATCCACCCCAGGAAGACACTCCTCTATAATATTTTTTCAACTGTTTTTTCTTCTCTATCCCACGTGACATGCCAGCAGCTTTTAGAGGACTTTGAGCCTCCTCCCTTTCCTCTTGCTGTGTCTCAGAAATTGGGCAGAGGCAAGACAAGAACCAGTTCTGGGCCCAAAGGTGCCAGGCGTTTTCTCCGTCCACACAGCCTACACCCACAGGTGGACTCCCACAGGTAGTGGGCCCAGGGCTGGGCTTTCCCCTTACCACTCAACACAAGACTTCATGCATCTAGGTTATAAAGAAGTGAGAGAGCTGAAAATTCAAGATAAGACATCCATGTACTGGAGATAATTGGGAAAATATTAACCTCAGAGCATTTGATAAGGGAGAGGTTTCTGAATGGTTTTAATGATGGGTTGGTTTCAACTGACTTGGGAAAGTTAATAGTTTACAGATACAGTACATGGGAAGTTCCCAAGAGGAAATAATTATATACCTGTCCCTGGATAACTTACAGGACAGCAAAGGAGCAGTCAGTCCATTAAACTTCCCCAACAGCTGTCCTTTCCTCTCTGCCTGGGGTGTTTGCCCAGGCTGTAGCTTGCCTAAGCTGTCTGCCCTTCTCTAAATGCCCTGCTGCCACCCTTCAGCTTTCAAAGATCAGTTCTTAGAGAGGCAGTTGCACCGAGCCCTAACCCTAACTAACCCTAACCATAATTCTAACTTTCCAAGGTGGCTCCCCCTACCTCCTCCTCCTCCTTCTTCATTTTGCAGTGGCAGGGATTGAACCCAGGGCCTTTGCACTGAGCTACATCCCTAGTCTTTAAATTTTGAGACAGAGTCTTGCTTAGTTGCTAAGTTGCCAGACTAAGCTCAAATCTGTAATCCTCCTGCCTCAGCTTCCCTGAGTGCTGGATGCATGTGTGACAACCAGCTGGTCCTTTGTTTCTTTTGATTTTTTCCTTGCAGTATTTATCACACTGTGTAAATGTGCATCTGATTACTCCAGTGTCCTCTGGTAGATGTGAGCTCTAAGAATACTCAAACTATAATAAACCAATAAGATTACAAGTACAGGTGCTTAGCTAACATTGATCCAATAGGGAAGCAGGGCAGGTCACAAGGGCATGTGGATGACATCATTAACTTGGCTTATCTATGACTTCTGAAACAGGAACATTGGGGAAGGGATGGGCCCAGGTGTTCTGGACTTAATGGACTGGGTGGTATCATTTACAGTATAATCTCAAATTTCCATTCATCACTTAGGGAAGTATACAAGCCTGGCCATGACTTTAACCTCGAGACCTGGCCTTCTTCAGATGCACCTCCTGCCACAGTTCTGATGTCTCCACCTTTCACTGACTTCCCTGAAAACCCAGTCTCTTTCTGAGTGTACACTAATTTTTATCTAACTTAGCTGCCTATAATAATAGGAGCTCAGTGAATTTTGTGAGTACCTGAGTACAGATTGCAATAGAAAAATCAAGATTAAAAAAAAAGATTGAACAGTGAATACTGAAAATCTAGTAAAAAACCAAATGGTCTTTCCACATAGCCTAAAAGGCAGCACTAGGACATTGGTTCAAAATTTTTCAAACAACAGAGAAGTCGATTCTTCATTTGAGGAACTTTAGATCTCAATAAATCTAATTTGACTTCCATATTTTCTGTTTATTTTAATCCTTAACACTGGACAAGTGCAGAAATGATGGACTTCCTCTACAAATTCCTGTAATACTACAGCAGGTTAGTTTAAAGATTAACTATGTCTCTTACAAGCCAGGGCTGGGCTGGGCTTGGACAAACATGGAATAAACAGGGCTGAGCCTTAGAGAATGCCCAGTTGGTCTGAATCCTTCAGGGTTAAGTGACTTTTGGGGGCTGCTCAGATAGAAGCACAGTCAGTGGAAGCCAGATCTCTTGACTGTCAAGTTTCAATTTCTTCCCACTGTGCAGCTTCCAGGGGACAAAGTCTAGAACTTCTCTGTGTCTGACCTACTAAGAGGATGAAGGGTCAGTCCTGACAGGGCAGAGTGGAGATCAGGTATAAGGAGAGGAGGAGGAGGTATCACTTGCAGTTTGCAAGGGTAAACCAGTTTGCAGTATTAACCATCGGAGAGCATTCTTGATAATCACCTTAGGAAGGAGTATCCTGAGCAAGGGGCAGCAATGGTAGGATCAAGAGAGGGGGCAAAATTATGTTTGTTCTGGGGTCAAGCCAACCTTGAATGCAATGGAGTTTTGACTTCTGACATCTTTACTTAATGCCATTGTGTCATTGGGTAGCTCCTTCTAAAAGTGGGTCTAAAAGTGGCCAACTAAACGTTACTAGATTCTGGGTTGCTTGCCTTTCCCTCTGGAGTTAGATTCTAGGTTCTTCTCATCTCAAGCAAAGAACTGAACAAAACAAAATAAGCAAAAAGCAGCGGCTAAGTTTATTTGAGAAAATAAAAGTGAAGAGTGAGGAGGGAGAAACTGACTGCAGAGTGAACTTGGGCTGAGTAAAAGGGGGAAAAAGCAAGATAAAAGTACACCCTGGAGAAAGCAGGGTGTGCTACTGTGAGGAAAGTCAGGATAGCAGGCTCCTCCTGCTGTCTGTGTCCTTATGTACTGTCCAAATTTCAAGAAAACCCATGAGAATTTCTACATATGGGTCCTGAGAGGCGATGCTGAGACCCTATGCCTCAGACTGATGTCAAGTGTAGGCCATCCTGTTGAAAACCTATGATTTCTTGGAAGAAGTCTGCATGCAGGGCTTTGTGAACTGTTCTGAGATCATGTAATTGAAAGGCCATGCCCACTTCCCCAGCCGGTTTTGCCAGCCCTAATCTCCTGTGTCAGTTGATGTTAGCTAGACTTTGCTGTGCCTTTCCCCGCCATTAAAATAGATTGGAGATAGCCAGGCGTGGTGATGCACACCTGTAATCCAAGCACTGGGGAGGCTGAAGCAAGAGGATCAACAGGAGTTCAAGGCCAGGGCTGGATAATAAGTTCAGGCCAGAACTGTCTCCCCCCAAAATATACTGGAGATGATCTTTCCAAATATCACTGTATTCACTAAATTTTTTTTTGAAAACTACTTAGCTCTAAAGTTGGGCTGGGGAAGTCAAAGATAGGTAACTTCCCTCTTGAAGTATTTCAGGCCCTCCAAGCCTGTTCACCTAGATAACTCCACCCTTGAATGGCATGGCTTGTTCAACTGGTAATTAGGAGATTAGATCTGGCTCCGTCTCTGTGTCATTTGAATTTCTCTGGTCCTTCAGTGTCATATCTGCAAAATGAGCAGAGTGGAATATAACTGGTTTTCTAACTGTGACTATATCTCACAGTCACTTAGGGGAGCTTTAAAAGCAATACAAACACATACAATGTCCAGGATCCAGGTCAGAAGTGGAGCCCAGAGAAGCTGACAAGCAGGTGAGAAGCTCTGAAGTCTCTTTTCTGGGACCTACTATGCTGAGTGTGTTCAGGATGAGGGTGGCAATAGCTGAACAGAGCCTATAGCAGCTGGAACACTCTGGCTTCATCATAATTAAATTGGCCAATAGGTCAGACTTCAAGTTTTGATTATCTGTAGCTCAGGTTCAAAGCTACAGAGTTCAGGTTTCAAAGGGTAAATGAGCCACTTTGAAAATGTTCATTTGATCATTTTTCTAGTTACATATGCCCTCATTGTTCAGAGGAAAAAACAAGAAAACACAAAGAAAAAGTTTGAGCCATGACCTTGTACCACTGATCTCTGCCCAAAGATGATCACTCAGAAAATATTCAACCTGATTTTTTCTGGTCCTGTTACCAGAATACCACCTTTAGCTCAGTGGCTCCATGCCTGCCTTGCAAGTGCCAGGTCCTGAGTTCAATCCCCAGTACCAAAAAAAAAAAAAAAAAGTGGCTCACTGAATAAATGTTACTGAGTTCTGGTTGCTCACCTCTTAGGAGTTGGATTCCAGGTTCTTCTCATCTCGAACAAAAACCTGAATGAAATGAGCAAAAAGCAGTGGCAAAGTTTA